AATATTTTTTAAATGCTATACTAAATTTAGTATAGCAAGTTTTATAATTTGTAATTTTTATTTAAAGCAAATTTATACCAAATTTTTATAAATAACTTTTGCCAAAATTTTATATAGAAAAATATCAGTATTAAAGAATATTTTAGCAAAATTTAAAATAAAAATTTTTATTTGTTGCTGAAATATGATTTTTTTAAATCATACTAAATTTAGTATAAAGGGACTATAGATACCTATTAACAATAATAATTAAATATTTAAATAGCAATAAAATTTAATTAACTTACCACTTGCGACAAAATAAATTCACAAAACCGCTTTTTATCACAATTATCTTCTATAATTTCAATAGCCAAAAAACCATCTAGCAAAAGAGCAAATAAAATTGTGTACTTTTTATCACGAATAAAAGTAATCTTTTTTTGTGCTCAAGTATTAATGGGTATATACCTATAATATCAATTTACACTACATTCATCTTTGCCAGATTCATTTATAAAGATCAACTGATCCAGACGAAAATTGGCTCCAATATTGGTCAGGTAAACGCTCTGCAAACACTCACTTCTCTCAGAGGCTATTTTGTATAACTAATTAAAAAAAATCATTAATGACTTCTATTTCTAATAAAAATACATTTTTTTATAAATTTTTGGTTACCTTTTTGTGGAAGATACCACAGTATTGCAATAATCACCATATGGTCAATAGAAAAACTTGCTTTTGCGTATAGTTTGCTATCTCAACTACGAGTACATCAAGATATAAATTCACCTTTTCTTTAATGATATGTTTTAATAGGCCCAATTCTTCACAGTTAAAGATTTTCTTGCACCTAGGTTGTTCTTTAAATAGATTTTTGACATATCCTCACTTTTGAAAAGTCTTTAATAATTGATATACAGAAGCTTTGTTTATAAAAAAAGCGTAATAATATCTTTATTATTATAGTCATTTAAATTTAAATAAATGACTCTTTATTTTAGATCTTCACTAAGTTTCTGTGGCATACTGGATTAGAAAGTGATTTGAAAACATGAATATTACTTATTAGCAAATTGTAAATAATTATTGCCTGTATTTAAAAAAAAAAAATTGTAATTTTGTAGCTAAAGTTTTTTATATTTAAGTGTGACTTTATACTGTTTTTAAAATTTTTAAAATTGGAAAATTAATTTATAACATTTTTTAAAAATATTTCTTAAAATATAATACTCCTTAAAATATTAATGTTTCTTAAAATGTTAATATTCTTTAAATATTTCTTGTTCCTTAAAATATTAATGTTTCTTAAAACAATAAAATGTAATATTTTTTAAAACATTAAAATATTAATGTTCTTTAAAAATTTTAATATTTCTTAAAATGTTATCAGGATTTCTACAAACAAAAAGCGTAAAAAGTAATTGTTTATTTTTTTAAACTCTTTTTCAAAAAAATAAAGTAGTTTTTTAAATTAATATGAATATTTTATTAGATAATTGTTTAGATGTTTTATTATACAATAGTTACAGTCTTTACTTGGTCTTTCTACTTGCTTGGTTTGTTCTAATAACTGGAAGTCTTCCTACTTATAATTTTACCCAAGTACTTATAATTTATAGTTGACAAATTTAATTAGACATATGAATATGTAACAAGCATGATTGTTTTATTTTCTTTTATTACTATATACATACAGAAAAGTTGGTAAGAATAAAACTAATATAATTAAAATAATTATCAAGATATTTGAGCTTAAAAATAGCAAAATAAAAATTGCATTAACAAAACCTACTTAGTAATACTAATTTCAGAGGTATCGATTCAATATGGTGATAATATATAATCTAATCTCACTTGATCTTTTACTATATTAGTCTGTTGGGTAACTAGAAATCTATTTTAACAATAATTCTCTTATAAATCGATTGGGTGGAATAACTAAAAAATGGGTTCAATTTTTAGGTTATTTGTTTTAGATAATTTGAATAAGCAATAGGGCTATATCAATACAACCATTTTATTAATCTATATTATAAATATAGAATGATAACTCAACAATGGTGTAACTTCTTATTGATGATAAAGTTCTTGATCAAACAAAATTCCTAACAAAGGACAAAGCATTGCTGAAGGTATATATTGCTAATAAGATGCAATTATCTCATATTGAGATTGAATTATGCTGAAAATTTGACCTATTTTATTATAAAATTATAATATAGTAGTTTTTTTTACTGTTAATTTAGAATTTAAGGTAAGTATGTATTATTAATAAGAGTATATGGAAATGCTCACAGCAAAAGCAGTGAATGAGACTATATATTATATAGTTCTATCCCCTGCTTTTGCTGTATATATAGATTTTAGTAAATATTTAGATTTAAATAAGGATTCAAATCTCAGCATAAGCTATCACAATAATTATAGCAAATCAAAATAAAATCAGATTAATATGAAAATTTGAGCTATTTAATTTGAAAATTACAAATTTTTTAGAAATATATTTTTAGACTTTTTTAGGATTTGAATTAGGATTTAGTGTTAGAATTTGACAAGAGTATAAGTAGATTTTATAGGTTTAAAAGAAAATTCTAAATTTTATTTTAATTTGATTTGCAACAATAATTATGATTTGAAGTAATATATATAATAAGATTTTATGCACTTATTAAAATCTAATTTTGTTTCTTTTTTTCTAGATTTTATTTTCGATAATAATTCGGATGAAATAAAACAGTTCATCATTTATTATCATAAGAAAGAATTATAAATTTAGTATAATAATATTAGTAATATTCTGGGCTATAAGGTATTAGTTTTTGCTTATACATATACAGAACAAAATAATAATAATCAATTTTTGATAGCAATCAAGAGACTAGAGATTATTAATAGGATATAATGAATTTAACTAAATCAAAATTTTTGCTTACAGATATTTGAATTCATATAATTGGATAGCATTCACATGTATTTCAAATATCAACCTACATTTTATATTTTTTTTTACCTTACAGAATAGAACAAAATGACATTATTGAATATTGCAAATTACTTTATTATACCTAAAGCTTTTATTATTAATAAAAAACTTTTACGACTCACTATAAAGGTGCCTCAAGATTTCTCATATTTTGTAAATTTTTTTTTATTCTTATACCTTTTGCTACTGTATAATATCTAATATCTAGATCTTATTGGATTTTGACATAGAAAATTAATTTTATAATAATTTTGGATTTGGATAAAAACTAATATCAAAATTTAGGTATTTAGTAAAGTAGTACTGTATGGCGATATGGATTCAGACAGATATACAAAAGTTATACTAAATTTTGATCATACGTATGGTTAATATAGACTTGTAAAATTCAGTTTTTATGAGTAACCCTTCTTATAGTTAAGGTTAGAACAAGCACTAGTATTGTTCTTTTTCTGTTAGAGCATAGACAAATAATAGAAAAATAATTTTGGCTTGACAAATTTTTTTTTTTACAAACCATATATACTATCATGATTTCTATGCACTTATATTTAAAAGATACTGTATTCAATAACAATAGTACTTGGGTTTTTTATTTATTTAAAAAAAGGATCAGATATTAATATACTACAATAGTCTTAAAAACAGAATACTATTCATGATAATTACAAAATAGATATGTTTTATGAATTTCAACTCGAAAAAAACTTTTTTAATTGTATAAGTATTATCACTTTAAATTTATATAGAAAAATTAAAATTTTAATTAATTTAAATTTTACTGTATTTGAAAATAAATGGTTATTATTATCATTATTATACTTATCTTCGATATTATAATCATTATTATGATTATTATTATACTTATTTTCGATATTATGATCATTATTATTATTGTTATTTTTATTATAAACTAAATATTGGCTTATAAGAATAAATATTTAGTTCAGATCTTTTAACAAATAGCTCAGTATAAAGTTTGATTTCTTGAGTATGGATTTCAAAAAAGATATGCAAAAATTATGCAAAATTAACAGTAAATTAGAAAGCAAACCTTGTATAAATTGTAACTACAATAAGGTCTTTACTTTCTAAGATATGAAATAAAGGTTTTAATTCTTGAGAATGAGAATAATATAATACAGAATCAAATTGGTCTTGCCTAAATAATAGATTATCCTCAAATTCATATCGCTGTTTTTCAGTCTTATCCAATCTAGAACAGAATGACTAGGTTCTAAAAATTAGTCTGTTTGCTTTTTTAAGAGGTTAAGTTTTTGGATTGTGAAGAATTTGTGTGCTAAGGGCTATCAGAAAGGGGAAAAGCTAGTATAACGTTTGACATATATTTTGCATGCCAGGTTGAAGGATTGAAATAACGGTTTACTACTTGAAATTTTTGAATATACTATGTCCCTAACAACAATTAATTCTAAATTGAGATACGCATTATTAGGTGAAAGAATTCCACTATCAGATCCGTAATAAGTAGGTAGAATATTGACAAATTTAGTTGTTTCTTTGGTGACAGATTTGGTTGTTTCTTTAGATTTATTAAGAAAGTTAAAGTCTAATTCAAACATGTATTGTTCGCATGCTGCAAATAATTTATTTTCTAATTTGTGATCCTTTATCTTTTCAGATACCCATGCTAAAGCAGGTTGACATGCTGATTGCTACTCTGTTTCATAATTATCTAATATGATTTTTATGTATATTATCTCTGCTAGAACCTTTGAATTTTTGATCTGATCTTGCTTGTATTTTATGTTCGTGGATTTTCTATTCAGAATAAGATAGATTAATTGACTTAGTAAATAAAATATTACTGAAGCATATATAGTACAACTTATATCCCTCTACGCTAACCATAGACTATAATACCTATATATATAGCTTAAATTGTAAAGTATCTTGGATATTTTGGACTACACTTTACAGCTTAAATTATAAAGTACCCTGGGCATTTTAACCATGCTATACAGTACCTTACAAGCTCATAAATAAAATTCAAACCTTTTATATTTGAATATTGTTGTAGCAGGGCCTATAATAGAGATTTCCTGTCCTGTACTAAATCAAAAGGCAAATATAAATCTGTAAACGTTGAAGATTAAACAAATGCACTGTAAAACCAAAAAAGCTTATAAATAAAATTCAGATCTTTTATATTCAAATATTGTTATAGCAGAAGCCTATAATAGAGTTTTCTTGATTCTGTACTGAATCAGAAAGTGAACACAAATCTGTAAATATCAAAGATTAAACAAATGTACTATAAAACTATAAAAGCTTATAAATAAAATTCAGATCTTTTATATTCAAATATTGTTGTGGTGGGGGCCTATAATAGAATTTTTCTTATCCTGTACTGAATTAGAAGGTGAACACAAATCTGTGAATATCAAAGATTAAACAAATACATTGTAAAAACCAAAAAGCTTATAAATAAAATCCAGACCTTTTATATTCGAATATTGTTGTAACAGGGCCTATAATAGAGTTTTCTCAATCCTGTACTGAATTAGAAGGTGAACATAACCTAAATCTACGTATGTCAATTAAACAAGCATACTGTAAAATCCTTACAAGTTTATATACTAAATTCAGACCTTTTAGATTCTAGAAAATGAATAAACTTGTCTAGGTGAAGTTTTTTGGGAGTCGAAATTTGATTGCACATTGAATATTAATACATCGTTAAATATTAATCCTTCATTGATATGTTAAATTTTTAAATA